GTAATGAGTCCACAGATGAGGGAAGTGATTGAATTTTCTCCTTCCATTTTTAAATCTCAGCTTTGACTCCCAATCAATGTAGCTCCGGAACAGCTATCATCCATCTGTCAGTAGGGGCTTACGGGTTGCTATGATGCCAAACAGGTTTCAGCGAAGCTTCCAGACTAAGACAGACTAGAAAGACTTGATATTGGACTTCCAGAAAATTAGCTAATGAAAACCCTGTGGTTCACAGCGATCTGACTGTGTTGTGCGTAGGGTTACCTTGAGTTTTGCCTGACTTGTGGGACGCTAACGAATCAATTAATGGAACCCTGGTGGATCACTGCAGGGCAATGCGCTGGATCACAGGCTCGGTTTGAACCTCAAGGTTGATAGTTCAAACTCACCACATGCTCCTTGGGAACCTTATACAGGTTGCTGTAAGTGAGAACCGACTTGACGACGCTTAACAACAAGAAGTCAATAACTTCTGTGGCGTAGTGAAGTATCTAATGTCTCTTCTAGCCCTAGTCTGTAACTCCCACCAAACAACGTTCTGCCCTACTGGGTCTGGGTAAGAGGAGGTGGGAGAAGATACTGATTGCAGGGCATGAGTCTTTTGGGCATGTTAGCAGAGTTCATTATAATTGTAAAAACTTGAACTGTAGCATGGGTTTAAAATGATCCATCTCAGGAGCAGGAGGGGGATCTCACTACCCTAAGACGACAAGCCAGGGGTGTCCTTTGGACCCCAAGGTCCCTGTACATTGAACCTCCTCGACCCAGGGACAGAAAGCTTGGAGGAGGGGCAGAGGAGCAGCAGACAGAGCGGGAGGCTCCCAGCCCATGGAGCAAGCAGAGCTGAGTGTAGGCAGGAAGCATGCTTCCAGGCACTTAAGTGGGGGAACTAAGTTTTCTGACCCACAAAGCTAGAGCCGAGTGCCTTACGGCTGAGGCTCATGGGGAATGGTGTGTCCTGTGGGCATTTATCCACAGCCGACTGGAACAACTGAGCATTTCTGACTCAGAATTGTTTACTTCCCTAATAAACCCCACAACTCTGAATATGGCATCTGAGTTCTGTGTGGCCGTTACATCAGATTATTGACCCCAACTAAGGAGCAGACAGTGTGGTGAGAGAAATGGTTTGGCTCCTGTTCTTCAGTGTCTAGAGTTTACACACCAAATAACAACAATGTGAGCATGTTTAGAGACACAGTGATAAATGTTCATGGAATCGTCTCAAGGCTTGGAGCGTATGGTGTCGAGCTGGGTTCAGGATGCCGTTGCTTCTTCTAAGAAGCTTTGTAGAACTGTTTTGGTGAACTGTATGCATATGCAACTTTGATGTTCTCAATCGCAATATACATAGAGGAAAATAGAAACATACAAAATTGTGCAGCACACAGCATGCGGTGCTTTCTTCACAGAAATGCACTGAGCCGTGTTTCGGGGTCAGCCTTGTGTTCCACCTTGGAAGAATGGCATGGTGGGCATGGCACCAGACCTCCTTGTCTAACGTCACAAAGGGAGGCGGATGCTTATCAGCATCACCAGCCCTGGGCTGAATGCTGTGAGGTAGAGGTCCAACATACCTCCATCCTCCAAACTTTTGACCAATTCTGATACCAGCCATCCCTCCCACCACACTCTCTACATCTATGCTAGGTTCTAGAATCCATTGCAAGGACCACACAGAGCCCACAGATCATACTCACGATTGTGTGGTTTGTTAGGAAATGACTCGGGGTACAGTTCTTTGGTCAGGAAATCTCTTCTGCTTGGCACGTGCAACAAAGCTCTTTAACTCCACAGGTAAGTGCTCAGAGACAACCTACTCCACCAGCAAGCCTCCTACCCACGGGACTTAGTTCTCTGGCTCCGTGGACCAGGAAGCCATCATGCCATCTCCTGCCAGTCTCCTAGTCCTGGGCTATAGGTTCTCTGCTGTGCTTACCACCACTTCTCACATCCTTGGACCAGCTCCCGTGTGAACAGCTCTCTGTACTCTGGGTCTAAAAGGTCCTCAGTGCACGGACCCTGGGCCCAAAGGACATACCCCACTCCCGACTCCTCTTCGTGGCAGTACTAAGGTGTCCACCCTGTCTGCTTCTGACAGGATGACAAAACTGACCAATGATCTCATTAGGGTTCCACACACCTTATTTGCATGTTCCCACTCCTACAAGGGCTCTATGTACCTGATTTGCATAGTTAGCAAGATGTCCTTGGTGAACCACAAGCACTTCATTTGCATAGTCCACCCCATTACTGGTGGGACTTAGAAGAGCATGGCTAGAAAGGCCGTAGAAAAATGACCAATCGTACCACAGGCCTGGACATAGCTGTGGTCTTTCTGTCCTGATGCCGCCATAACTGAGAATGCCATAAGTGGGTGGAATGAAAGAGTAAACATTTCACACACAATAAATAAATAAACACACACACACTGGTTGGTTGGTTGGTTTCATTTACTTTCTCCAAGTTCTGGAGGCTATAGGTTCAAATCAGGATCACATTGTGTTCCTCAAAAAATATGTGTCTGCTTGGTTAGGCCATGACTACCATCTTGTGTGACTGCCCACCATTTTGGTATGGGCTGTAAACCCTAATCTCGGCCCCTGGTTAATGAGGTAGCAGTCAAGAGGACTTGATTGTGTTTGTTATGTTGATGAGGCAGGAATGGGGTGAGATGGATCACCCTTACACAGGTCACAGCCCTGATGCCATGTAAGGGGAGCTTCTGGGGGGTGGCCATACCCCCTTTTATCTTACAAGAGATAAAGGAGGGAGAAATGAAGAGAGGAGAGACCTCGGTACCACCAAGAACAAAGATCTGGGAGCATAGCTCGTCCTTGGGACCTAGAGTCCCTGTGCTGGGAACCTCCTAGACCCAGGGAAAGGCTGATGCCAAGACATGTGAAGATCTCCAAGGAACACGGGTCCACAGATGTTGAACTAAAGAATTTTTAGTTCTTTAGTTGTGGCCAGGGTCTCAGTTGTGTTGATTCCTTTTGGGGGCTTCTCTCTAGTTTCTGGTGTCTCCTGCAACCGCTGGTGTCCAGTTTCTTATAAGCAGGCCCTCACATGGTATCTGTCTTCTATCCAACCATGAGAGTCTCTGTGTCTGTCCTGGTCTTTTTGTACCTCAGAAGTGATTAAGTGTAACATCTGTGTGCACTCATTAACAAAACAAAGGGAAAATGACTTCTAAGCAGGATCCCATCTGCAGGAACCAAAGAAACAAAACAAAACCCATTGCCACCCAGTCAGTTCTGCCCATGAAGACCCCGTGTGTTACAGAGCAGAACTGCTCCACAGGGCCTTCTTGGCTGGACTCGTTAAGGAAGCAAGTTGCCAGGTCTGTCTTCTGTGGCATGGCTGGGTGGGTTCAAACCACCAAACTTTAGGTTTAATAGCTGAGTGCAAACCGTCCCCACCCCCAAGGACTTTCCTCCATAATTAGGAGGACACAGTTCACTCCATAGCAGTATGTAAGGATGATGTGTGGAAAGACGTGTAACCCTTCCCCACAGTTAAGAGGATCTGGGATTTGTGAATTTCTCTTTACTCCAAGACTTCAACCAAGTCTTGAGACCTTGGAGTAAAGAGAAACCTTACTTTGTTTCTTCATAAGCCTTAAGACTTGGTTCAAGCTTCCTTTGAAAGCTGTAAACATGGCAAGTGATCCAGGCACCCACTGCCTCCTGGTGGCAGAGTGCCAGAACTGCAGGTTATAGTTTCATGTTTTTGAGGCGTCCTGATATGGTGCTGTAGGATAGGCGCTGAACTGCTAATTGCAAGGTCAGCACTTCAAATCCACCATCTGCTCCTTGGAAACCCTAAGAGTCAAAATTGGCTTGATGGCATTGTTCAACAACAAAGCCCCATGGAAGTTTAGGGTACCAACCAGGACTTATGGGGGAACACACATTCACTCTTCCCCTCAGTCTCTGAGGTTTCTGTCTGCACATGAGCAATAGAGCGTATCTGCTTTAAGGGCTGTATGTGATTCAAAAGCTCCACTTTCCTCTGGCCCCACTGTAGAGGGAGGGAGATAGTAACTGGGCCCCCATCCTGCCTCCTGTCTTTCCCAAATTGAGATGCATGCAGAGCCAGTGGACACGTGCCTTTGCCCAGCTCTTCTCTGGGCATTACCAGCCTATGCACATCATCGCAAACATTAGTCACATCACTCGGCATTCTGTGAAGGTGCTCACTTGCCACTTCTCCGCAAAAGCACACCGCCACGCAGCCTGCAGCTCGGAGCCAAGAGTGTGTCTTGCTTTCGGGAAGCCATCCATCCAAAGCCCAGGAGGACCCAGTGGTCAGAGTGGGCTCTGGGGTGGGCAGTGGGAGTTTGAGAAGCCCATCTTCTCTCTAGGAAAAATGATCGCTTCACCTCCATCTCCCAAGGACGGGCAGGGGAAGCATCTGGGAATGCTGGCCCCAAGTTTTGTTTGCTTGACCCAAGGAAGGGTTCCTTAACACCCAAGGCAAAGATGATCTCCCTGGAGGTGGAGGAGGCGGTGACCTGGAGCCCACCCTGGAGGACATCCCTCTTCCTGACATGAAGGAGGGAGGAGGGAGGCAGGACCAATACCTGAGGCCTCACAATGAGAAAGAAATGAGCTCTGAGGATGGCTCCTCCTCTTTCCCTCCCCCCCTTCCCCCTCCTCTCTTGAGCACCTTCCCACCTGGGGTCTCACCTCCCAGGTGTTTCATTGTGTTCTGTGGGGTTTTTGTTGGATGATATTTGGAAGTTGATTACCAGATCTTTCTTCCTAGTCTCCCTTAGTCTGGAAGTTCCGCCAAAATTCGTCTACCATGGATGACCCTGCTGGTATTTGAAATACTGGTGACATAGCTTCCAGCATTGCAGCACCACTGTGGGACAACCCAATAGATGGGCGAGGGGGCTTCACCAAATAGGAGTCATTTTGCATTTCCATCCATCCCGAGTGTGCCCTCCTGCCTCCGTTTTTCTGCCCTGACACTGCCCTCCCCTGTTCCCACAGGTCAACAACGAGAATGTCGTGAAGGTGGGCCACAGGCAGGTGGTAAACATGATCCGCCAGGGGGGCAACCACCTGGTCCTCAAGGTGGTCACTGTCACCCGGAATCTGGACCCAGACGACACAGCCCGGAAGAAAGGTATGCTGACCCCCCTCCGCCCCCAGTCTCTGAGAAGATTGCTCAGGGGCATTGGGAAGGTCATGGCTGTGGGGTCAGGACCCTCGCTTCAGCCAAGCGCAGTCCCTGTGTCAAAGCCACAGCAAGTTCGGGGGTTTTCAGGTATGGGGGGGTCTCTCCTCCTGTGGGAGGTTCAGGGGAGTCTCCCCAAAACTGGGAGAGGAGACCCCTGGAAAAGGACCAGTGATGACAGGCTTACGGCGCTGCTGTGTCCACTGGGATTCAGCCCACCGCCCGCTCCCCAGGTCCCAGCGGGGGGAGAGGCTGTGTCCTCAGTCTGCACGTCCCACCCCAGTCCACCAGGAGGTGTAGGCTGTGACCGGTGCTCTGGGAGCAGCTGCTCCTTCAGGTGCTACGTGAGGACTGACCCACAGACTTGTTGCAAAGCAGGGACACTGAGAGGTTTCTGTTCAATCGCACAGGGGTGGGGTGCACAGGCAGCGGGCAACTTCCAGTCTTTGGTAACACTGGGCGCTCCAAGCATGCCTGTCACGTGCACCGCACACCCCACGCTAAGCCCTGCAGCGGGGTGCACCACAGCCAGCACCCCAGGGTCACAGACACACCTCGGTCACCATGGTCCTGGAAGCGTGGGTGTGGGGTGGGGGACGAGACCCCCTGAGCAACACGCGCCCTCTGTCTCTCTGCCCCTCAAGCCCCCCCTCCACCCAAGCGCGCACCGACCACAGCGCTCACACTGCGCTCCAAGTCTATGACCTCGGAACTGGAGGAGCTCGGTAAGACTCGCCGAGCCAGGCCGCCCGCACCCCGCGTCCCCACCGTGCATGACACCAGGCTCTGCATGCGTGTGTCCCCCGCCTCCTGGGACACGGTTCCGCGGGGGTTGGGCGTGGTTGTGTCGGTCCCTCTTCTCGGCTTATCTAACATTGTTTTATTTTGAATTTTTGGGCCTCTCACTAGTGGATAAAGGTAAGCTCCCCACGGTGTCCCCAAACTTCTAGGGGACCCCACTAACACACAGCTCAGAGTCAGTTCTCACCCTCACAACATATCAGACCCACAGAGGTCCCCAGGACTTCTAAAGGTCTCCAGGAAACAGAGAGCTGCTGTGGTCATTGGACCCTGTCCTCGGAACTGGAGAGGGTCTAGCCTGTCCGAGGGCCATGCCAATGCCCAGTGGCTTTGGAGCTGACCCATGGACCTCTTGGGTGTCCATTAAATGTCACCGTGAGGAGTACCAGGCTCCCCTACGTGCTGAGCTCTTGCAGGAAAAGTGGCTGAGATACCACTCAGCTCCCTGCACGATGCACTCGTTCAGCAGCGAAGGGGGCGCTGGTCACCTTTGTGCAAATGGCTCTGCCCAAGGCCCACCGCCAGGCCAGCATCCAGGGCTGGGGTCTGAGCCCCACACTGAGTCTATGGCCGACATCAGGTCCACCTAAGCCCAGTCTGCAATGGGAGAGCCCCATCCCGGTCTGGAATGTCGGGGCCACACCTAGACTCTGTCTGTCAGAGGTAAGCTGGGGGGAGGATTCTCCTGCCCTAGGGTCAGTAAATCCCCTGTAACCTAGGCAAGCACCGGAGAATCCCCCTCCACGCCAGGAACCAGTTGATTCCCCCTCCACCCTGGGAACCAGTAGATCCTCCTCCACCCTAGGAACTAGTGGATCGCCCTCCCCCCCAGGAACCAGTGGATCCTCTTCTACCCCAGGAATCAGTGGATTTCCCCTCTACCCCGGGAACCAGTAGATCCCACTCCACCCCAGGAATCAGCAGATTTCCCCCTCCCTTGGGAACCAGGAGATTCTCCACTCTTCCAGGAACCAGTGGCTCCTTGGGGAACCAGTCCATCCTCTGCCCCCAGAGCATCAGATCCCTCCCCTGGAGACCAATAGCTTCCCCAGGAACTAAAGGACCATTCATTCCCTGTGAGCCAGTAGATCCCACCACTCAGGAACCAGTTGATTCCCCGGCCCCACTGTGGTAGCACCATGTCCATTAGAACCAAACTCAGAAATGAGTCCGTAGTTCCCCCTGGCCATCTGGAAGGGAGCTACGATGCTCTGGTAGTCCCAGCCTCCCCTGTGGGGACCAGCAAGCAAGTCACCTTATAAAGGCCATGGCGCTCAACCAAACAGCCAGAGGAAGCCCGCGTCTCGTGAGCTCCCAAGTCTCTCAGAGCCTCAGCAGGCACCCTCTGCCTCTCAGGTCCAGGACCTCACCCACACTCATCCTTGTCCACACTTCGTTAGGGTGCTGGGCACTAGCAGGGTGTCCCTTAAGAAAGCAAACCCAAAACAGCACCCCATCCACCCAGAAGTGAACAACCGCAGGGCAAGTTGGAAAAGGAAAAAGCGTAGCCTGAGGGAGCCTGCTTCTGGGAAGAAGCTACGGGCAGTAGGTTTCCCCTGTATTTGCCAGCTCCTCCTAGAAGCCTCGCCTAACCCACCTCTGGTCCCCCCAAATCCACCCATCCTGGCCTGCTCACTGAGGCCACCCTGTCCCCGAGTGACCTGAGACGAGGCTGTGGGTGCATGTCACCGGCACTCGTGACTCATAGCCCCCATTTCTGTTTGCAAGCTTCCGTCCGGAAAAAGAAGGGTAAGGGGAGAACGAGTGCTTGTCTCCGCCCTGAGTGGAGAGGACCCTGTGTTCCCTGAGCTCTGTGTTGTCTTCCTGTTCCGAGCCCTGCCTGAGGGACCTCGCCCGGGACCCACGTCCCTGCGTCTGTCCGTCCGCTTTGCTTCTCTCCTCTGTGGTCCCTGTGCCGTGTCTCCCCGTGGGATGTGCTCATGTACTTCCTGGCTGTGATTGCAGTGGGGTCCAGGTAGGTCCTGGGCCCGTCACAGCCAGGTCCGCCTACCCCAGTGGACAGCTCATAGCCTGAGCTTCAAGGGGCTCAGTGGCCATTTGCCATGTGTGCCGTAGTCTGGTGGCTGGCTGGCTTGGGAATGCAGTCAGGTGAGGCTCTCATAGTTAGATGCTCAATGCTGGACACAATAGGCCTGGGGGTCCACTCTGAGCAGGACTACCCCCCTTGAGCTCCCAGGAAGCCCCCTGTCCACGAGGTCCACTGTGTGGTTGAGCTGGGAACAGGAGAACTGGTAGGGTGAACAATAGTGACATGTAGATTAGTTGAATTTTGAGTCCGGCCTGCGGTTGCCTTGGCAGGGCCAGACCAAATGATTTTATGACCCGCAAACCAATGTTTCCCACCCCATCGGTTAAAGGGACCCCTAGGAATTCCCATGCAAAGGTGCTCCTCTGGAATGGGTGGGAGGGGACCTAAGGTGCTAGCCCTGAGGCACAGCTCAGCACCCCAACGTTACAATTAGGGGGCTGGCTCTCGGGAATCAGTGAATCAACACCTCAGCTGGGTCCCACCTGATGAATGGCTCCAGGAAACACCCCTGAGCCCACCCAGGAAAGTCACCGTGGGTGTTTAGATGGACCCCAGGAAGCCATTCTCAAGTTTCATGGGATCGCATATCTGTAAGGACTCCCTTCAGTCTGAGGCTAACCCCCAGCTCACCGATCCAGTCCCTGAAGGAGACACACACCAGCGCTTCGCTGCCTTGTGATAAAGCGTCCCATCAGAAGAGCGTGGACTCTGAGCTGACCCCTCACCAGACACCATCCACTCCACCAGACACCCCCTGAACATGGGGGGCACGAGGGCCAGTCTGCACAGCTGGGGTCAAGCTGAGAGTCAAGGACCACCGCTGTTAAGCAGTGAAGAAAGCTGGGTGCTGATTGGAGATTCATATTTCACCCCAATCTCTACTCTTCCCTCTGTGGGATCAGGAAGACTCCATGGGCCAGAGCGTCCAGCGGATGGAGGGGACCTCAGTAGGGACGCACACTGTGCCCATAAAGCACCAGCGTAGGAGGCTACGGGGAAGCCCTCTTCCCCGCCCACCCACCCGGCATTCCTACTGCTCCATCTCACTCTCCCCATCTGCACAGTGGGGACGCCTGCTCAGCACACAGAAATGCTCCGACCCAGTGTTCCCCTGACCAGGCTCCTCCGCTGGTCTGCCCCAACTCCCCCCAAAGCATTTCTTAAACTCCAGAGAGACCGTGTGAATTCCGAGAGAAGGCAAGCTTGAATACAACAGCTTTAGCTCCCAGCTCAGCCGCTGCCAGCATGAATCCATGTGCGTTTCTGGTTCCTCAAGTCTCTTGGGTTCCACCACTCATCTGTCCGTTTGCCGTACTGCGGTGACTTGCGTGTTGCTGTGATTCTGGAAGCTATGCCATCGGTCTTTTAAATACCAGCAGGGTCACCCAGGGTGCACAGGTTTCAGCTGAGTTTCCAGCCTAAGACTAGAAAGGAGAGGCTTTGAGAAATGACGGAATACAAATTGAAATCTTTTAACAGATGGATAGAGCACTGGAGGCACTCACTCATCTAGGCCAAAAAATGTGGAAAAAAACTACCTGGCCAACTGACTGGAAGAGATCCATATTTGTGCCCATTCCAAAAAGAGGTGACCCAATGGAATGTGGAAATTATCTTAAGAATATCATGAATTTTACATGCAAGTAAAATATCGCTGAAGATAATTCCAACATGGTTGCAATCATACAGCAACAAGAAATTCAAACTGCCAGAAATTCAAGCCGGATTCAGAAGACAATCTGAAACTAGTAATATCATTGCTGACATCAGATGGATCCTGGCTGAAAGCAGAGAACACCAGAAAGATGTTAACTTGTGCTTTATAGACTATGCAAAGGCATTCTACTGTGTGGGTCATAACAAACTATGGAGAACAAATTACCAAGAATGGATGTTCCAGAACAATTCATTGTGCTCATGAGGAACCTGTGCATAAATAAAGCAAGAGGCAGTCGTTAGAACAGAACAAGGGGACACCGAATCATTTAAAATTAGGAAAGGTATGAGCCAGGGTTGTGTCCTTTCACCTTACTTATTCAATCTGTACGCTGAGTAAATAATCCGAGAAGCTGGATTATATGAAGAAGAATGTGGCATCAGGATTGGAGGAAGACTCATTAACAACCTGCAACATGCAAACGATACGACCATTCTTGCCAGAAGCGATGAGGACTTAAAATACTTACTGGTGAAGATGAAAGACCACAGCCTTCGGTTTGCATTGCACCTCAATGTAAAGAAAACAGAAATCCTCACACCTGTACCAATAAACACCATTATGATACTCAGAGCAAAGACTGAAGTTGTCGAAGACTTTATTTTGCTTGGATCTACCATCAACACTCAGGGAAGCAGTAATCAAGAAATCACGCATTTGGCAAATCTGCAACACAAGGCCTCTTTAACGTCTGTTAGAGAACTAAGGTGCTCTTGACTTAAGCCCTGATATTTTTAATCACCTCATATGCATATGAAAGCAATAAATAAGGAAAACTGTAAAGAATTACGTTGTTGGAGAAGAATATTAAAAGTACCATGGACTGCCAGAAGAGCAAACTAATCTATGTTGGAAGAAGTACAACCAGAATGCTCCTTAGAAGCCAGGATGGCCATTTTTCATCCTTCATACTTTGCACATATTACCAGGAGGGGCCAATCCCTGGAGAAGGAAGGATATCATGCTTGGTAAAGTGGAAGGTCAGAGGAAAAGCAGATCTCCAGCAGGATGGATCGGCACAGTGGCAGCAGCTATGGGCTCAGGCGTAACAATTGTGAGGAAGGCGGAGAACCAGGCAGTGTCTCCTTCTGTTGTGCACAGGGTCCTTATGAGTCGGAAACGACTTGACGGCATCTAATAACAATAGCAAAGCCCCTTCATTCAGTGCTTGGGTTGAGGCGTCACTGTGCCTCCCAGACACTGTGCAGGATGATGGTTCTCAGGGAACAGGGGAAGCTCAGGCCAGAGGGTGACTGGCAGGACAGGTAGGGGAGTGGGTGTTTGTGGTCCTTCTGGACCCCAGACCCTGTCCTAACGGGTGAGTAGCCTTGGGTGCTTTCTTAGTTATCTGCTGTTGCTGTAACACATAAACAGCCCTAGTGGTGCTGGAGGATAAGCGCTGGGCTGCTTACCACTGGGTCAGCGGTTCAAACCCACCAGCCATTCCAAGGGAGAAAGATGAGACTTTCTACTCCCATAAAAATGAACAGTTTCGGGAACCCAGCACAGGGTCGTTTTAAGTCAGAAGCCCTCAGTGGTGGGGTGGGTGGGCTATGACAGAGGATGGTTTTACCAAGTAGAACTTTATTCTCTCATGGATTAGGAGCTAGTCCGAATTTAGAATGTCAGCTCTAGGGAAGGACTTTCTCTGTCGGCTCTGGGGAAGGGCCTTGTCTCCCATCAGCATCAGTAGACCCACATTCCTTGGAGATCTCCGTGTGTTTCAGCATCAATCTTCCCCTGGATCTAGGAGCTTCACAGCACAGGGACCCAGGTCCAAAGGACACATTCCGCTCCCGGCTCTTCTTTCTTGGGGTGGCAGGTTTCTCTCTCTGCTCACTTCTCTCTCCTTTATCTTTTATAAAGTAAATGGTGTTGCAGGCCACACCCCTGGGAAACTCCCTTGCATAGGACTAACGTTGTGATGGGATTAAGGGTGTTGAATCCCACCCTAATCCTCTTGCTGGCTTATCACATCAGATCACATTCTGGGGCTCATCACACAACAGGCAAAGCACAGAGAATCATGTCCCGGCCCAGCTGACGCACATTCTGGGGGAACTACAATTTAATCTGTGACAGGCACATTGGGGTCCCCAGCTGAGACCACAGACCCGGCCCCTGGCCAGGAAGGGTCAGCAGGACCAGAGCCCTAGGTGTGCACTGTCCATTCCTGGGTAAGGAAGGGGACAGTTTCCCTGGGAGATTAAACCGTGAAGGGCCCACAAGCCACAGACAGCTCCTGACATGGGTGGCTTCCGTCTTTCTGCGCTTTCAGTGTGCCCCAGGGAAGTTTCTGGAGTTTGCTCTCTGATTCCCATCACCCACAAGGATAGCAAAAGGGTGAGCTCAAGTCCGAAAAGTGCAGGCACAATGGGAGGAAGGACGGGACCCCCGCCAGCCTCTGACCAGGAACGCTGACACTATGAAGCAATTCATGGGGTTGAAGGACTTGGTCTCAATTCTGAGCTGGCCAGACACCTCTGAAGGCCCTGGGTGGGAGCATTGGGGTGTGAGGCACCCCCTCTCAATGGGGGCCCGACACTCAGTGTCTGGGTGGACAGCATGGCCTAAGGCCAAATTCCCGAGCCAGTCTCAGTGAAGGTTCTCACCTGTCCCCAGGAGAAGCAGTGTCGGGAGGGGCTCCCACGTCTAGTCATTTTCATCCAATCAGGTGTCAGTTCTCACGTCCGCCTGTGGGGCTGGGTCCACAGAGGCTGACCCACTGGTCCCCCTCGTCCAGATCCTGAAAGGATCCACGGCTGTGATTGAAGGTTATCCTCAAGTCTGAAATGACAAGCCTTTCATCAATGCCCTCGTGTTCTGGTAACCATGTGACCTCAGGAACCCGAGACGGCTGAACAGGGTTACAGGTCAGCGTGCCCCAGAGTCTGAGGGACCCTGGCGTAAGCCACCAGATGGAACCAACAGTGACTGGACTCTGAACTGAAGAGGCTCCCCGGACCACGCGACTATCATGTGTTCTGTTCAGAAGGACCCTCGGACCACGTGACTATCACATGTTCTGTTCAGAAGGACCCTCGGACCACGTGACTATCACATGTTCTGTTCAGAAGGACCCTCAGACCAGGAGACTGTCACGTGTTCTGTTCAGAAGGACCCTCGGACCACGCGACTGTCACGTGTTCTGTTCAGCTGCACCCTTGAAGGGCTCAGGGGGCGGCGGGTGTAGAGCAAAGACTCACTGCCCTCGGTTGAGGGTGGAGGAGAGGGAACACCCTTTGAATGTCTGAGTCAAAGCCTACCCATCAGATGGGAAAAACGTGAGGGGGGGGGAAGCAAGACCCCACACATGTGTGTACATATATGTGTGTGTGTGTGTTGTTGTTAAGTGCCATCAAGTCAGTTCCAACTCATAGCCATCCTATGTAGGGTTTCCGAGGAGCACCTGGTGAATTTGAACCACCAACCTTGCATTTCAAACCGACCTTTGGGTCCAGTGCATTGTCCTGCGGTGCCATATCAGGATTCCACATATATAAGGACTCCTGGTATGGTGCTGTACGGTTAGCACTAGACACCGAACCACAAAGTCAACAGTTCAAAACCACCAGATGCTCCTCAGAAACCCTATATAGGCTCGCTATAAGTCGAAATCGACTCAGCGGCACTTAACAACAGCATACACACACACACAAACACGCCTGCTTTCTCATTGGCCAAGTGACCACTAGGGGCCAGTACCCACTGGTGTTAGCCCGACAGCCCCACAGACGTGAGAGTAGATCCTGTCTTGCATAACCTAACCCATCTCAGACACTCAGTTGCTCTGTCTACAAAATGCGACTGACCCCTCCTCTGTGGGGTGAGAAATGGAGCTAAGAGAACTCTGAGTTTCCACCAAAGTCGGGGCCCTGCCGACAGGGCAGTCTCTCAGTGCACATTTTTGGGGTGTCAGCCAAAAGCCCAAGGCCCCAAAATGGAGATCCCAGATGTTGGTCCAGGGAGACCTCAGCGGCAGACAGGAGGTCAGATTGTGAAGACCAAAGGGACAGACTCTTGGTGTCCGGAGGACCCAGCCATGAACATGACCCTCTGGTGACTCCTCACCCCTGGTGCCCTCCACTCGGCCATCCAGCAGTGTCCAAGCCTTGACAAGGCTGCCACCAAGCTTAGGACTCAGGAGGCACCCACGTCACAAAACCTCATGTGTCCAGACTGTTGATTGGAAGCCCGTCATTTAAAATCTAGAGCCGTGGTCAGACCAGAATGGACGCCAGGCCTGCTCCCTGGCACCCTGCCTCAGGCCAAGCTCACCAGACTCTGGGAGATAAGCCCTTGTCTTGGGCTCCTGGGTGTCCTCTCCCCCCGGAGAGGGGGAAAGACTTCAGGTCATCACCTCGGTGAGGTTGGAGGCAAGACCAGGAAGGCTCAGTCTGAGCTGTGCTCCATCGGAGGAGAGGGAGGACCCATCAACATCTGCATGGAGGCGAGCAGGACACCGCTGAGAAGAAGCCCCCAGAGTTGGAGCCGAGTCCAGTCCCCAGTTCTGGGGAAGCCCTTCATGTCTGACACACACGGGATCACTGGGACATCACCCAGTGTTGTGTTGTTGAGGGCCACATGGTGTGTGTTGTATATCCTTCTGTCGTTGCTGGTGTTGTTAGGCACCATCAAGTTCCAACTCATGTGGCCTTGTGTAGGGTTTCCGAGGCTGTGAATCTTTGCAGAAACAGAAAGCCTCAACTTTCTCCCACAGAGCGGCTGTTGGGGTTGAGCTGTCAAACTCGTGGTTAGCAGTCCAATGTTCATCCTACAACATCATCAGGGCTCCTTATATTAAAACCCTTTTCAGCTCCAGGGCCTAGGATTTGGACCCCGGACCACAGTTTGCCATGTCTGGCGTGATGATATTTCAGGGAGGTTAGCCCGAGTCAACACTCATGGAAGCAACAGCCAAGAGATCAAACGACGTATTGCATTAGACAAATCTGCTGCACAAGACCTCTTTAAAGTGTTGAAGAGCAAAGATGTCAGCTTGAGGACTAAGGTGTGCCTGACCCAAGCCATGGTATTTTCAATAACCTCATATGCATACGAAAGCTGGACAGTGAATAAGGAAGACCGTACAAGAATTGATGCCTTTGAGTTATGGTGTTGGAGGAGAATATTGAAAGTGCCATGGGCTGCTGAAAGAATCAACAAATCTATGTTAGAAGAAGTGCAGCCAGAGTGCTTCTTGGAGGCCAAACTTCATCTCTCATACTTTGGACATATTGTCAGGAGGGAGCAGTTGCTGGAGAAGGCTGTCATGTTTGGTAAGGTGGAGGGTCAGAGAAAAAGAGGAAGACTGTCGAGAACCGGTTTCGACATGAGAGTTTGGTTCACGAAGGAGGGAGATCTGGCGGCGACAGAGATAGAGAAAGAATACACAAAGACACAACAAGAGAGACAAATAGACACCCTAAAACTAGAGTGGATGCATAACTGGCATCAGACAGATCCTGCATTGTAAACATTTTGGCTATGCATGCCGTTTGCACACCTTGCCAACTGCAATGCCTGCCCGTACTGCAAGCCGCAACACATGCCTTGCCAGCTGTAACGCATGCGGGCTGTGGTCTGCGCCTCCGTTTTTTTCGGGGAGGAGCTTTACACAAAGGAAGGCGGGGTTTATTAAGACGGGGTACAGAAGTGAAATGTGATTAATCATTCAAAACAGAAGACCATGATTTACAGGAATCAAATTCTAAAACATACATCACAAATTGTCTTGATAACCTAACATCCTTAATTTTCCAGAAATTCAAGCAAATTTATATAGTACTTTTCAGGTTCGAATCCCAGGGCAGCAACTCGGTTTCTCCAGGCTAATTAACATACCTATAGCACCTAATCTCGAATGGGAAAAGGTGAAAAGGATTAGGAGGAGTCCTGCTGTGTCAGCTGCCTGGCCGAGACTTGCAGGAGGAAGAAAGACGCCTAGGTCAATGATCTGCACCTGGGGACGATTTAAGATGGCTGATGCTATTGCTCTTTGGACAAAACCCCGGAATTCACCAATCCACTTTGGGTGAATTCCTTGGGGGAAACTTGTTTTTGGAACCTTTTACAGCCTCGGCTTTAGGAGCAGTTTTTGTTTTAATATTTGTCCATGGGTATCAAGGGCTCATGTATTAAGTTAATATCAAACATAACTGAATAATTTGATAAAGAACAGTTTGGACGAGCTTGCCCAGTGGCCAGAGTTTTTTCCTCAGAGAGATTTGTTCCTAGAACCTTAAGCACTGCCAACACAGTGGAGACATTAAGAGAGGCACATAAGAAACCATTTTCTCAGAAGCTACAATTACTGGAGTTCGAAGCATAGAATGAATTAATAGGACTAAAGAGAATTATACAGAGCTAGCCCATCAGTGAGTTCGTAAAAGCCAATGAACCCGGGACCTCCAGAGGTTACTTCCTTGGGCCCTCAGGGTCTCTGGCCAGCAAGTCTGAGTGCGGCCACATGCTGGATTTTCGTCCATGACACCGGTCCTCAGCATCCCAGTACCTGCGGTCTGCAATAGAAGACTCCCAGTGAGATGGATTGGCGAAGTGGCAGCATCAGTGGGCTCAAGCATGGCAACAATTGTGAGGTTGGCCCAGGATCAGGCAGTGTTTCGCTCTATTGTACATAGGATCGCTACGAGTCGGTACCAACTCGATGGCCCCTAGCAACAAGAAGTCTGAGTCAGTGGAATCCTGGTGTGGCGCTGTGGGCTAATGCACTAGACTGCAAAGTCGGTTTGAACCACGAGGTTGGCGGTTCAAGCTCACCAGCCGCTCATCGGAAACCCTATACAGGGTCACTATGAGTCGGAACCTTCTTAACAATAGTGGAGAAAGATGACCGTGTCATTTAATGAATATCTGTGGACACTGTTGCATTGGTAAATGTTTGCTGTGTCATTGTCAGCACTATGTTGTTGTTGTTGTGTGCCGTGGAGTCAGTTCCGACTCACAGTGACCCTGTACAGGGTTTCCGAGGGTGTAAATCTTTACAGGAGCACAAAGTCTCATCTTTCTCCTGTGGAATAACTGGTAGTTTCGAACTGCTGACCTTGTGATTTGCAGCCCGATTCGTAACCACTACGCTACCAGAGCTCCTTCTCAGCACTATAAAGAGATCCAAAAGGGGGGTTTGGTGACTGAAATGAATGTCTCTGAACTGAACTCATAAATGTCCTGAAACGGCAAGTGTGTTGTTGTGTGGATCTCTCCGCAATACGATGTTTAGAAAGTGAAAAGAGAGAGATTTGACTTTTAGAAGAAAGGCATGGAGGCTTCTAGCCCAGCCCCGATTGAGGTTCTAATGGGTCCCAGCTGGCAGCACCAGGGTCCCTCGCCGGCAGACTATGTGGGGGCAGTGGCTTTTCTGGCCAAAGAATCACAACTCTTGAGTCTCACAAAAAACATCACAAGTGTCCGTGGGTTCGTTGCAGTTCATACCCCTGAGAATGAATATCCCAAGGTCAGAATAGTGACCCACCCAAAAAACAACTCTCACAAAAAGCCACCAGCTCTTGTGGCGTGGTGTGTCATGGCATGTCCAGGGGAGGCCACCGGCTGTGGTGTGGCGTGGCATGTCCCAGGGAAGCTGCTATGTCCCTGTGTTGCTGTGTGACTGTCCCCTCCCAGCGTGAGGGTTGCAGATGGGCCGGGCCCTTGGTCCCCCGGGCGCCACAGTATGTGCCTGGGCAACAGGAAGGGAAGATAGATACTCAGTAACCAGCGGACACCCTCAGGATCTCGCTGCCGGGCAGTCTCACCTCACTAGCCCTGAAAGGCTGATTTGTGAGTCCCCCTGTTTTTATCGGCAACCCCTTGCCTTGCAGATAAGCCCGATGAGATGGTCCCCGCCTCCAAGCTGTCTCGGGCTTCCGAAAATGTGGCTGTGGAGTCTAGGGTAGCCACCATCAAACAGAGGCCGAGCAGTCGGTGCTTCCCTTCGGTCTCCGACGTGAACGTGAGTGGGGGCCCGGGAAGTGGGGGTTTGGAGGCTTTGGCCCCCACAGGTGTGCCGGTGACTGGTCTTTGGGGGTGTGGCCCAGCACAGACCAGGGGCAGGAAGGCCGCAGCCTTGGGTTGGAACCTCACTTCTCTGGTGATGTGTCAGGGGTGTCCCTGATCCTTGATGCCATCATCCCCCCGACATGTGTGAAGGGGTGTTTGAACCAGGCGACTCTGTTCCTACTCTGCATGAAGTAAAGAAACCCTCTAGGGTGGAATGCCAGGAACCCCCACAACTGGGGGGACCTCTACATGAACATCGGGCCGATGAGCAGCGGGTTCTGCCACCGGGGAGCCCATGATTCATTTCACTTAGTAACTTCCTTGGGTGGAGTCTGTTTGGTGGAGTCTATAGAGTGTCGTTGTGGTTGTGTGTGGTGGAGTCGGTGCCTACTCATCGCAACCTTATACAGGGTTTCTGAGGAGCAGCTGGTGGGTGTGAACTGCCGACCTTGCGGTTAGCAGTCCAGTGTTTATCCGCAGTACCACACCGGGACTCCAGTAATCCCCATGAAAGCCACACGTTTGATGACAGAGTTGTGTCATATTAACACACGGAACCAGCACAATGGAGGCATTGACCCTTGATCCCCCTGAAGCCCCCTCCTTGGAGGGAAGGGGAGGTGGGAGGTCCGTGCCTCTTGCTCTGTGCCCATATGGTCACCTGGAACCCATATGGTTCCAGGCTTACCAGACTCCCAAACAGCCTATGCAAGCACCCTCTTTCCTCTCCAGTGTCCGGGGGCCTCTGTGCCGTCTGCCCACAGAGGAGGTGAGGGCACCGAGGTTGTCTCAGAGATTGTGAGACATTTGGGTCACATCAGTAACTGGGCACTGAGATCTGCCCCCCATCCCTTCCAGAGCTGGTCCCCCCCTGCAATCGACCAACACCATCAGCTGTGATGGTGGAGGCACGTGGAGGCTGCCTTGCCCCCTCACTGGACACCTTGCCCTCTTCCCAGCCACCCTCCCGAGCTTCGCATCTTTCAGAGGAGGAAACGGGGAATCCTGATTGAGTGTCCACTGCCCTGCCCCCGCTTGCTGGGCCCCTCTGGGGGACGCATGTCAGATCGTCCAGTGGATACGGCTCCAGGTGGACTTGGTTTCCACGAGGCTGTCACAGGATCAGGGATGGCGTGGTGGGGGGCCATAGGTGTCCTCGGTCTCGAGGCTGGAGGTTGGCCCGGGAGTCCCGTGACCGCGTCTCACCGTGACCTCTCTTTGCAGTCGGTGTATGAGCGTCAGGGGATCGCCGTAATGACGCCCACCGTTCCCGGGAGCCCAAAAGGCCCGTTTCTGGGCATCCCTCGAGGTACGATGCGAAGGCAGAAATCGATAGGTAAGAAGCGTGACCCTCACCTGGAGAAGTTGCCCCTTGGCTTTCAACATAGCCCTTAGCACCCATTGGGAGAGCTGCCCATCCCACCAGCAGGGGTCCCCCTCTCCCTGTGGCCGCCATGTTGTTGCCACACGGCAGCTGCGCCACCAGGCCCTTCCACTAGGGGGCAGTAGCTGGCCCCAGCCACTCAGCAGACATCTAATTGAGTAAGCAGTTTAGAGTCCCTCCCAGTGGGGATATCAAATTTGGGGCGGGTTTTCTGATCTGGCCAGCCAAGTCATTTGTGGAAATGCCAGCAGGGTGGCAAGGGAAGAAACACCAGGGTAAATCTAAAAGTATTGCTAATAGGTTTCCAGTTCATACATGCTATTGTAAATGTTGTTGGGAAGTGCCATCAAGTCGGTTCCAACTCACAGCAACCCTGACGCACAGCAGAACGAAACACCGCCTGGTCCTGTGCCCACCTCACAGTCGTCGCTGCATTTGACCTTATTGCTGCTGCTGCTGGGCCATTCCATCTCCTTAGGGGTCTTCGTCTTTTTTTGCTTCCTCTACACTTTACCAAGCATGATGTCCTTCTCCAGGCACTTAGTCCCTCCTGATATGTCTGAAGTCTGAGAGACCAAGTCTGGGCATCCTGGCTTCTAAGGAGCATTCTGGCTGTACTTCTTCCCTGACAGACTTGTTTGTTCATTCAGTTCATGAGACTTTTAACATTCTCCTCCAACACCACAACTCAAATGCCTCGATTCTTCTACGGTCTTCCTTATTCGTTGTCCAACTTTCACATGCATTTCAGGCAAGTGAAAATCTATAGCCTGGGCCAGGCACACCTTAGTCTTCAAAGTGATGTCTTTATTTTTTAACATTTTAAAAAGATGTTTTGCAGCAGATTTGCCCAATACATGTTTGATTTCTTGGCTGTTACTTCCACAAACATTGATTCTTGATCCAAATAAAATGAAATCCTTGACAATTTCGATCTCTTCTCATTTATCATGATATTGTTTATTGGTCCCATGGTAAGGGGTTTTGTTTTGTTTACAATGAGTTATCATACATACTAAAGACTGCAGTCTTTGATCTTAAATCCTCTTCCCTTTCAGCAAACAAGATTGTATTATCTGTCTGTCACACATTGTTAATGAGTCTTCCTCCAATCCTGATGCCACGTTCTTCTTCATATAGTCCAACTTCTTGGATTATTTGCTTAGCATGCAGATTGAATAGGTATGGTGAAGGGATACAACTCTGACGCACACCTTTCCAGATTTTAAATCACACAGTTTTCCTTGTTCTGTTTCACTAACTGCCTCTTGCATGGGCACAATTAAGTCTTCTAGAATCTTCCCATCCATAGTTTGTTTTGATCAGCACAGTTGAAAGCTTTTGCATAGTCAATAAACAACAAGTAAACATGTGTCTGGTCGTCTCTGCTTGCTGTCAGCCAAGATCCATCTGATGTCAGCAATGTCATTCCTCATTTCCCCATCCTCTTCTGAATTCAGCTATAATTTCTGGCAACTCCGTGCTGAGATAGTACTACAAATATTTAATTATCTTCAGTAAGATTTTATTTGTGTGTGATAGTAATTATTTTGTTCCATAATTTCCACACTCTGTTGGGTCATCTTTCTTTGGGATGGGCACACATACGGATCTCTTCCAGTCAGTTGGCCAGATAGCTGTCGTCCAGATTTCTTGGCCTAGATGACGGAGTGCCTCCAGTGCTGCGTCCGTTTGTTGAAAGATTTCCATTTGTGTTCCATCAGTCCCTGGAGTCTTTGTTTCTGTCAGTGCCTTTGGAACAGCTTGGACTTCCAACTTCAGTACCATCATGATTGAACATGGACCAGCTTTTGTTCTATTTCTGCCTTGCTGGAGGCTGAGGGGTAGGTAGAAGTGAGGAGTGATGGTTAGGGCTAGGACTAGGGCTAGATCTAGGCTAGGACTTGTTAAATACCATCCAGTCGGTTCTGACTCCTAGCAACCCTCTATAGGGTTTCCGAAGGGCAGCTGCCAACCTTCTGGTTTGAAGTCCAGTGCTGGCCGTACAGCACCACACCAGGAATGCAAACTAGGCCTGGAACTTGGTTTATTGTTAGGATTATGGTCAGAACTAGAATTCATGTTAGACGTAGGGATTGGTCTTGTTTTTAGGGTTACAGTTAGGTTTCTTTTTATTTAATTTTTTTAAAAAATCAATTTGATTTTCTCTTCATTTGGAAATTCTGTAGCTAGCTACGTTATTCCCTCCTTTTCCTTTATGGTTTTTGTTGTTGTAGGAACTGTATCTCTGGCTCTCTGTGTTTAGTCTGTTTTACTTTGAACACTTCCATATCTGGGTTCAGTCTAGAAGATATTGTCATGTATGTGAGTCTCCGGCTGTTGTCTGCTCTTGTTGGTTCTCCATCCAAAGAAAGCCCTTTAGTATTTTTTGTAAGGTGCGTCTGGTTTTTACAAATTCTGTTAATTTCTGTTTATCTAAAAATGACCTAATTTCATGCACCTATTTGATGGACAATTTTGCTGTTTGGCAATTTATTTCTGTCTGTGTTTTATGTGTCATTCCATTCTCTTCTTGCCCTGCATGGTTTTTGCTGAGAAATCAGAGCTTGATTATATTGGTTCTCCCCTGTAGCTAACTGTTCGTTTTTCCCAAGCTTCTCTAAGGATTCTTTCCTGTCTTTGGTTTTGAAAAGTTTGATTATAATATGTATTGGTGTTTTTCAACCAGTTCTTTTTGGTACAGTGACTCTGTGTATTCCTTCCATCTTCTTTTGATACTTTCTGTACCATTGAATATTTTGCCCAGAGAATGCTTCAATATTATTAGTCGAGGTTTGAATTTTGTTTTATTCAGTTCTTTCAATTTGAGAAATTTTGAGCGTGTTCTTCCCTTCAGGGAAGAATTCCAAGTCTTTGCACATTTCATTATAATACTTGATTTTATCTTCTCAAGCTGCCCTTTGAAATCTTCTCTTCAGTTCTTTAATTTCATTCCTTCCATCCCTTTAGGATTTTCTACATGCAAGAGTCTCTTCTGACATCTACTTTGGTCTTCCTTTCCTGTCTTTAATGACCTTTTGCTTTCTTCCTGTATGATGTTCCTGAGGTCATCCCACAACTCCTCTGGTCTTCAATCATCAGTGTCTAATACACAAAATCTGTTCGTGAGCTGGTCTCTAAATTCAGGTAGGGCCTACTCAAAGTCCTATTTTGGCTCTCATAGACTTGTTTTCATTTTCTCCAGCTTTATCCTGAATTTGCATGTGAGCAACTGATGGTGTTTTCCCAATCTGCCCCTGGCCTTGTTTTGTTAATGGTATGGAACTTTTCCACCATCTCTTCCCACAGATGTAGTCTCTTTGATTTCTGTGTATTCCATCTGGTGAGGTCCATGGGTATAATTGTCTTATATGTTATTGTAAAAAGGTATTTGCGATTAGTAAGTCATTGGTCTTGCAAAATTCTGTCATGCGATTTCCAGCGTCATTTCCAGCGTCACCAAGGTCATATTTTCCAACTAATGGTCCTTCCTGTTTGTTGCCAACCTTTGCATTCCAATCACCAATAATGATCAATACATCTTGATTGCATATTTCATCAATTTCACACTAAAGATGTTGGTAGAATTGTTCAGTTTCTTCATCATTGGCTTGTAGGTTGGTGCATAAATTTGAACAATAGTGGTATTAACTGGTCTTCCTTGTAGTTGTATAGATACTATGGTATCACAGTAGCATTATATTTCAAGATATTGTTGTTAAGTGCCATCAAGTCAGTTCTGACCCATAGCGACCTCGTATAGGGTTTCTGAGGAGTGACTGGTTGGTTTGAACCGCCAACCTTATGGTTCAAACTGACCTTGCAGTCCAGCACATTATCCTGCAACACCACACCAGAAGTCCATACTTCAAGAATGATATTGAAATGTCCTTTTTGATGATGATCACAATGCCATTCCTCTTGAATTTGTCATTCCTGGCATAGTAAACCATCCCATTGTCCAATCCAAAATAGCCGATACCAGTCCATTTCAATTTACCAATGCCTAGGTCGTGGACCTTTGAGTTCCATCTCATTTTTGATGACTTCCAATTCTTCCAGAGTCATATTTCAAACATCCCACACTCCAGGTCTGCAGCTGTTTCTCTTCATTTTGAGTTGTGCCCCATCAGCAAGCGAAGGTTCCAACAGCTTGGCCCTGTCCACATCGCTGAGGTCGACTCTACTTTGAGGGGGCAGCTCATCCTCAGTCATACCTCAAGTGTCTTCCGACCTGAGGGCCTCAACTTCCGGTATTCTATCAGACAAGATTTCATTGCTATTCACAAAATCTTCAGTGTCTAATCCTACAGAAGGGGACCACCTATTCTTCTTCCTAGCCTGTCTTAGTCTGGAAACACCGCTGAAACCTGCCCAGCATGGGTGACCCTGCTGCTCTTTGAAACAACAGTGGCATCCAACATCACAGCGACATGCAAGCCACCACAGTGTACCAGACTGGCAGGGGCCTGTGGGTTGGTCTCATTACGATGCCTTTTTTTTTTTTAAAAAAAAAAAAAAGGTCCCATCTAAACAGTGTCTTCTGAGGGAGCCTGCTGGACCAGTTCAATTTAAGGCAGAGAAGTCAGCTCGGAACATGATGGCGATTTGGGAGAGGATCCCCAAGGGGGTCACCTTAAGAGATTTTCTCAAAGGATGTAAGACATCAGGGAGAAGGTTTTAGAAACTGGAAACCTACCTCAGTACGGAAAAGACCATGAAAGCTGCACTGAGGACTATTTTTCCATCACAATCCACCTGCTTATTCCTTAAGAGTAGCACGGGCTATCCTGTGAGCATTTCCTTGGGAAGCCTTACCCCCATGCACCCGCAGCCCTGACCTTTCCCCTTCACATTTATTCTTGCTCCCAAAACTCAAAGGCCAGTGAAAAGGAACACAGTTCAAGTCACTTGAGAATGCCCACGCTAGTGCTGTTGGGACGTGGGGCCAATCAGAGAGCGCAGAGTTCTGCGGGGCGGGTTTAGGGGCGGGGCCACTCCTCAAGAGCCTATGGACCTAGAAGGAGATGAAGCCAAGACCCAGGAGGTTCCCACTGTGAGGATTTCCTGTCAGAAAATTGTCTTTGATTTTGTAGCAGTATATTCTAACTTTTCCTCATGTATCACGAGGAAGGTTGGGGGCAGCCCAGACCAGTTCCCACACCCCGTCCTGTGCCGGCCAAACTGGGCAGGTTGACCAGCTCCCCACTTTCCCAACACGGACTGCCACGCTTCTGTGGGATGAGCTCAAGGGGACATACTTCGAAGGTTGGCTGGGTCAGGTTCTGGAATGCTAACGAAATCGTATCCTGTCTTGTGTAACACGGCTTGATCTTCTCATTTGTGTCACAGTGGTCCCTACGAAATGTGTCCCCTTTGTGAGAGTCTTTCCTTGCTTTTGCCTCGTTGGTTCCCATAGACGCCAAGGCCACAGCCGCAGGACCTCAGAGAGCTGTCGCTCCAAGTCCTCGGGGCCCTGGTTCTGCCCCCAAGGGTTCCCTGTTCTAGAACCGTCCTAACTAGACACCAAACTGCCGGGGCCTTACGCCTCCAACCCCCTCGTCCCAACCACTCAGGGCCCGGGCAGGAGGGTGGCCTGTAAACCGTGAGTCGCTGTTTGTTACCTTGTTAATAACGGCCCATTTCCTCCTGTCAGACAGCAGAATCTTTCTCTCAGGTTGGTGGTCTCCTATGGTCTGGAATCTGTCATCTGAATGTAGCCCAAATGACCCCATAAGGTGTATTCTTAAATCAGTACTCCTTGGGGGCTGAGCTGTCAGTCAGCCAACCCGTAATGCACGACCAATACGAGCCTTTTGCAACCAAATTGTCCCCACTCAAGGAGTATGTGGTATTTGGAATACCCTTATCAAATGGACTTGCTGATCCAGAGACATCACTGTAGTCTGTCCCGGGAGGTGTTTTGATGTGAAGTGAAGCGTTTTGCTCCCCCCTGACCCACCCCTCCCCACCTCTGCATGCTCAGTGGGCACGTAAGTCCTGTCTGCCTGTCTGTCTGTCTCTCGTGTGTGTTCCTGCTCACCCTTTCCCAGCGTGCACTGTGTTAACATTTTCACATCTCTCCGGGCACAGCCAGATAACACACACAGCAACTCCCTCAGGCAGGAGCCGGGAGCCTGAGGCATAGCCTCTCACACAATCGGACACACTTGTGGTCCCACTGGGTCGAGTTGAGACGCAGCCTGGGCTAAGTCCCCAGGACTCAGACCTTGCCACCATTGAACTAGGCTGCTACATCACCCTGCACCCCAGTTCCTGCTCTTAAGAAGGACCAGCTCTAGAGCTCCCCAAAGACCCCCAAGTGTCTGCTCGGAATCCAGCTCTGGTCTGGGCACTGTCTTGGATAAAGAGACATGTTTCACAGTCTGAATGGCCCTCTCTCTGAGCCACCCCCTCATGCCATCCTTGTGGGGCTCCAAAGATGCCCAGTTAGGCATCCTCCCAGCAGGAAGGGACGGTGCTGATCCCACTTTGATGCCACCCGACAGCAGCTCTGCACCACCCACGTCACACCAGCAAATGCTCCCCACCCGCTCCCTGACCCGTGCACCCTCAACTCACACAGGACAGCCCCAGGAGATCACAGACGCCCCCCCACCCGGGCCTAGGGGTATCACACGCACTGATTCATCACAGTGGCTTCTTTCTTTCGTGTTCTTGGCCTTTCTTTGTGGTCCCTCCTCCTTGTCACCGTGGCTTGTGCTGTGCTTTGAGGAGATCTGTACGTCCTCTCTGTGCGTGCGGTGGACACATCGCTGTCGGGACTGAACCATGGCGGCCGAGGCTGAAACTAACCGCCCTGTCTCTTGGCAGGGATCACGGAGGAAGAGAGGCAGTTTCTGGCCCCTCCACTCAAGTTCACCAGGAGCCTGTCCATGCCCGACACCTCCGAAGACATTCCCCCTCCGCCCCAATCTGTGCCCCCGTCTCCACCACCGCCCTCCCCCACCACCTACAACTGCCCCAAGTCCCCAACGCCACGCGTCTACGGGACCATCAAGCCCGCATTTAACCAGAACCCCGCCGCCAAGGTCTCGGCGGCCGGCCGGTCTGACACGGTGGCCTCCACGATGCGGGAGAAGGCCACCTACTACAGGAGAGAGCTTGACCGATACTCCCTGGACTCCGAGGACCTGTACAGTCGCCACGCCGCCGCCCAAGCCAACGTGCGCAGCAAGCGGGGCCAGATGCCCGAGAACCCCTACTCGGAGGTGGGCAGGCTGGCCAACAAGGCTGTCTACGTGCCGGCCAAGCCCGCGCGGCGGAAGGGCATGCTGGTGAAGCAGTCCAATGTGGAGGACAGCCCCGAGAAGACGTACTCCATCCCTGTCCCCACCATCATCGTCAAAGAGCCGTCTACCAGCAGCAGTGGCAAGAGTAGCCAGGCCAGCAGCGTGGAGACCGACTCGCAGGCCGTCGAGCAGCCCGGTCAGCTGCGGCCCGAAGACAGCCTGGGGGTCAGCAGCCCCTTCGCTGCCGCCATCGCCGGGGCCGTGCGTGACCGCGAGAAGCGGCTGGAGGCCCGGAGGAACTCGCCGGCCTTCCTGTCCACCGACCTGGGGGACGAGGACGTGGGGCTCGGGCTGCTCGCACCCAGGACGCAGCCTTCCACGTTCCCCGAGGAGGGCGGGCTCGCCGACGAGGAGGAGGCCCAGCAGCTGGTACCGCCCGGGGCAGCGTCCAGGGAGCCCGAGAATCACCTTGTCGGTGGGGGCGAGGCCGGCGGAGCTCAGGGCGAGGTCGGGAGGCCACTGAATCTGACGTCCACAGTCAAGGGTCCTGAAGGAGGCCCCGAGAATTACGTCCACCCGCTCACGGGGAGGCTGCTTGACCCCAGCTCCCCGCTGGCCCTAGCGCTGTCCGCCAGGGACCGGGCCATGAAGGAGTCCCAGCAGGGGCCCAAGGGGGAGGCCCCCAAGGCTGACCTCAACAAGCCCCTGTACATCGACACCAAGATGCGGGCCGGCCCCGAGCCCACCTTCACGCCTGTTGTTACCAGGCAGAACACGAGGGGTCCACTGCGGAGGCAGGAGACAGAGAACAAGTACGAAACGGAGCTGAGCCGAGACCGGAAGGGTGAGGACAAGAACATGCTCATCCCCATCGTGGACACGTCCCAGCAGAGATCGGCCGGTCTGCTCATGGTCCACACTGTGGACGCCGCCAAGGTGGACGGCTCCCCGGACCAGGAGGACCAGCCGGCACCGGGGGAAACACAGCTGGGCCTCTCGCCACCAGAAGTGCCAGAAGGCGTCTCCGAAACCGAAGGTGCTTTGCAGCTCTCCGCTGCCCCCGAGCCGGCCGCCGCGCCCAGCAGAGCCATGGTGACGGCCGGCTCCGTGGAGGAGGCGGTGGTCTTGCCCTTCCGCATCCCCCCTCCGCCTCTAGCCTCCGTGGACTTGGACGAAGACTTTATTTTTACAGAGCCATTACCTCCGCCCCTGGAATTCGCCAACAGTTTTGATATCCCCGACGACCACGCCGCTTCCGTCCCCGCCCTGGCCGACCTGGCCAAGCCCAAGAGACCGGACGCCCCTCAGCCCCCTTCGTCCAACTCGACGGGCGGCCAGAAGGCAGCTGGTCTCTCAAACTGCCTGCCCACCTCGTTCCTGCCGCCCCCCGAGAGCTTCGACGCCGTCACGGACTCGGGCATCGAGGAGGCGGACAGCCGCAGCAGCAGTGACCACCACCTGGAGACGACCAGCACCATGTCCACCGTGTCCAGCATCTCCACCTTGTCCTCGGAGGGCGGTGACAACACGGACACCGCCACGGTCTACGCGGATGGACAGGCGTTCGTGGTCGATAAGCCCCCAGTCCCCCCGAAGCCCAAATTGAAGCCAATCATCCACAAAAGTAACATGCTTTATCAGGACGCGTTGCTGGAGGAGGAGGCGGACGGCTTTGTCCTGCCCCCGCCGGCCCCGCCACCCCCGCCTGGCGCTGCCCAGTCCGGCACGACCAAGGTGGTTCAGCCAAGGACCTCCAAACTATGGGGCGACACAGCAGAGGTCAAGAGCCCAATCCTCTCAGGCCCAAAGGCGAACGTCATTAGTGAATTGAACTCAATCCTGCAGCAAATGAACCGAGAGAAATCGGCCAAGCCAGGGGAAGGACTGGTCTCGCCCACAGGAAGCAAGCCTGCCAGCCTCGCGACCAGGTAAGTTCCCTACTCGACACCCAGGCCAGTGTGTCTCATCGGTATGGATCCGCAAGTCCTCGTGGGGAGCCACCAAAGCAGACTGGAAGAGGGGCTTCCGCAAGCCCCCCGTGTGGCCTGTGTGCGTTCACACTGTAGCACACTTGTTTCGCTTGATCTCCGGACTCTGGCGCCGCACAGGTAAATGGGAACAGACTGAGAGGACTTGGCGCTGCTCCCACGGAAACGTGTCTGCATGGAACCCTAACCACGCTGGCTTCTGTAGGGCAGCTCTGCTCTGTCCCTCCTCGCCCCCCGGGTCTGGGCAAGCACCACTCAAAGGGCTGTTTCCAACAGCCGATCTGTTGCCATGGAGTCAGCTCTGACTCATGGTGTCCCCGTGGGTGTCAGTAGGACTGTGCTCCTTAAGGGTGTTGGTTACCAGGCCTTTCTTCCTAGGTACCTCGGGGTGGAATCCAACCACCAACGTTCTGGTGAGCGACCAAGCACGTTGACAGTTTGTGCCATGTAGGGAGAGCCTCCCAAAAGCCAAAATTGTACTCTGAGTGGGTAACAGGAAGTAACCATGTGGCCCAAGAGTTGGGCAGGATCGGGAGTGAGCAGGAGGACATGGGGGTCTAAGTGGGGGTGGCCTGTGTGCGGGTTCCTCTCCCTTCCTCCCGTCCTGACAGCCCACCCGATCCCAGGATGCAGGCTCACAGCTGCCCACAAGCCGGCCAGTCACAGTCTGTGTCACGTGGGGGCCGTCCGTGTTGTTTCCCTGGGAACTAGGGCTGAAACGTGAGACGTTGTTTCTAAACCCGGAAGTGTGTGCCTATGGCGCCCTGTGCGTTACAACCTTTCACGCAGCCGTCTGCATGATCCTCACTAGAACCCTGTTTCCCCCTCAGCACTCAGTGTTCCAGTTCTCTGTCCAAACCTACTGCCTTTGGACCCACGGGGTTTCTGAGGCTGTAAATCTTCATAGGAGCAGACAGCCTCATCTTTCTCCCTGGGAGCTGATGGTAGGTTTGAACCGTCGACCTTGCGGTCAGCAACCCAGCTCGCAATCCACCACGCTCCCAGGGCTCCTTGTTTGCCTGCAGCACAGGCTGTTTGGCTCGTCCCGGTGGGGCGGCGTCTTCATCCTTTTGACTAATGAAGTTGTTCTCAGTATTTCCCACTGCGTGAGCTCTGGATACAACAACTCCACCCCTTTTTTCAGTATTGTCACCCCACGGTGGGCTCTGGAGACAGGAACAGAGAGCCATAATTCTCCAGATTGCTTCCAGTGTGGATGAGAACACGTTCCTGGGATGGCTCAAATTCCTCTTCAGATGACATTTGACAGATTGGCTTTTGGTCACTTGTCCTTTAACTGGACACCCCTTCCTTCATTGTGGCATTCAAATGTCACCAAGAATTGAGGAGAGATTCTTTTTTTAAAAAAAAAAGTTCTCCTGTTACATAAAAAAGTGTCCCCATGTATGACAGACATATGTATAAACATGCATACAAACCTTAGGTATTTTAAAATGCCAGCTGCCATTGAGGATTTCCTCAATGTGTGGAGAAGCCACAGGGTAGGAGGCCTCCGAGTTTTCAGTTTGACCTTTCTGGACTATGTGAGGACAGGATGGTGGGGCTGGCATGTTTCTTTCGTTGTAGTTGTTAAATTGTTGCGGACATAACAGTAATGAAGATGCAGTGTCTTAGTGTTGCCGGGGAGCAGGAGAGGGGCCATTCATTACCCCCACTTTTCAGAAGGAGAAACTGAGACTCCGCGAGGCTAGAGGGCTTGTCCTTGTGCACAGGCAGGACCAGGGTGCAGGACTTCACAGCTATGCTTGCGTTTTCTGCCCGCTGGCTATCAAGACTGGGTTGAGGAGGGGCCATGGAGACTGCCTAGGACTGGGGACTAATTCATTGCTTGCAGCCAGTGGTGCCCCTAGGCACGTCCACCCACAGATCCTGGAACCTCATGCCTTCTGGCTCCTCTCTGGATGATTCTGTGGTCCTCTGCCGTGTCCCCATGCAAACAGGACGAAACCCTGCCAAACCCTGCTCCATTAACTTCAGGTTGGCTCTATCCATTCCCAGTGGGGACAGCCTGCTAGAGAATTCGGATGAGTGTGGGATTGTGTTGCACGTGTCAGTTCATCAGGTCCACCCAGACCTTTCTACAGGGGGACGTGGGTCAGGAAGGGGCCTCAGAGAAGGCGTCTGGCAGAAGTTCTAGGGGAGAAGTTTTGGTTGGTGTGGTCACCCCAGGCTGTTCTGTGATTTGTAACCCAATTCACTTAACACTCAGACTATTCCCCGACATCAAGCGTCCATTCCCTAGGCACCGAGGGGGTAGAATCTGCACTGATTCCCCTACAACGCAGGTGAAGAAACTGCAGGACAGAGAGAAAAGCAAGACGTGGCTGAGGCTCCTGAGAAGAAATGGCTGGAGCGGACGTCCACCCCAAGCTGTCTCAGGCTTCAACGTCTGAGAGTGAAAGCGCTGGACTCAGTGATGACCCCAGAAGGAGGGGTCATAGCTCACTTAGTGTCTGTGGGGCTGAACACCTGGGTGATCCAGAAACTTCAGATGACTGAGAACCACCACGAGGGGCCACCAGCACCACTGAACATCGAGCTTCTGGGGACTGTGCCCACTCGTTCCCCTGCTCACAGCTTAATTATGTACTCAGAGATGGAGGAGAAATTGGCCAGCCCCTTGACCCGAGGACAAAATGAAGGTCAGTCCCTGCAGGTACCATTGCTTTCCTGAACTAACTGCCTCACCAAGTCCAATGTTTCCGACAAAGCCAGACAAGTGGACATGAGTTGTTTGCTGGCGTCTCACTGGTGGGTGTGGATGGGGTTGTCCCAGCACACGGCTTAGCTTCCGCTCACGATGGCTGCTGTATTCTCCGGCGTGCCCAAGTCCTCATCAGTCTCACGCACGCACACCTCAGAGATTCCACAGAACCAGAGCGGGAGGCTCACAACCTCGTTTCCATGGATCTAAAAATTAACGGCTCAGACACCCAGGCAAAATGAGGCATGAAATTGGATGCTGGGAATTCCTGCTGAGGAAGATGGACAACTTGTGCTAAGGACATGGGCCCCCAAAAGCTCCTTTCTATCGGAACTAGCTTTGAGGGCCCAAGGAAGGGCCCGTTCTTAGAGCTGCCCCAGTGACTTTTCCTTTACTGCAGGGGCAGAACCAGGCTGAGCTGGCCCCTGTCAAAGTACCTCCATCCTCAGGGTCTTTACTGGCAACTTTGAGGTCAGGTTCTTCTCTTTTCATTCTTGTTAGAACCCAGGCAAGGACCAGGAAAAACCCCAAGCTGCCACTGACAACTCACCTCTTCCTGATCCTACACAACAGAGCAGATCTGCCCCACAGGGTTTCCGAGACTGTAATCTCACAAGTTTTTGAATCTGACAACAACATGGTTTACTATGCCAGGATTGACAAATAGAAGAGGAATGGTGTTGCAGTCATTGTCAAAAAACATATCCAGGTCAGTCATGAGGTACAATGCTGTAAGTGATAGGATAATATCCATGTACTTACAGGGAAGACCAGTTAACGCCACTATTATTCAAATTTACTCACCAACCACTAAAGCCAATGAGGATAAAATAGAAGAATTCTACCAACTTCTTCAACCTGAAATTGATCAAACATGCAATCAAGATGTATTGATTGCTGGTGGTGACTGGAATGCAAAGATTGGAAACGAAGAGGAAGGATCAGTAGTTGGAAAATATGGCCTTGGTGATAGAAATGATGCTGGAGATCACGTGATGGAATTCTGCAAAGTCAATGATTTGTTCATTTAAAAAACCTTCTGTAGACAACATAAGAGATGACTATACACATGGACCTCACCAGATGGAATACACAGAAATCAAATTGACTACATCTGCGGAAGAGATGGCAGAAAAGCTCCATATCATCAGTGAAAACAAGGCCAGGGGCAGACTGTGGAACAGACCATCAATTGCTCATATGGAAATTCAAACTGAAGCTGAAGAAAATGAAAACAAGTCCACGATATATGACCTTGAATATGTCCCACCTGAATTAAGAGATCATCTGAAGAACAGATTTGATACATTAAACACTAAAGACCGAAGACTGGAAGAGTTGTGGAATGACATCAAGAACATCATATATAAAGAAAGCAAAAAGTCATTAAGAAGACAAGAAAGAAGGAAAAGGTCAAACTGGATGTCAGAAAAGACACTAAAACTTGCTTCCCAGCATAGAGATGCTAAAGCAAATGAAAGAAATGAGGAGGTACAAGAGCTGAACAGATAATTTCAACGGTCAGCTTGAGAAAACAAAGTCAAATATTACAATGAAATGTGCAAAGATCTACAGTCAGAAAACCAAAAGGGAAGAACACGCTCAGCATTTCTCAAGCTGGGGGAACTCAAGAAAAAATTCAAGCCTTAACTTTCATTATTGACGGATTCTCTGGGAAATTATTGAATGATGCGGAAAGCATCAAAAAGAAGATGGAAGAAATACACAGAGTCACTGTACCAAAAGGAAATGGTTCATGTTCAACCATTACAAGAGGCAGCATATGATCAAGAGCCAATGATCCTAAATAAAGAAGTCCAACATGCATTGAAGGAATTGGCAAAGAACAAGGCACCAGGAATTAACTGATGGAATAAAAATTGAAATATTTCAAGAAGGTGAGGCAGCACAGAAGGCACTCACTCATCTATGCCAAGAAGTTTGAAAGGTAACTATCTGTCCAACTGATTTGAAGAGATCTGTATTTGTGCCCATTCCGAAGAGAGGTGACCCAGCGGAATGCAGAAATCATCGGACAGTATCTTTGATGTTCCATGCGAGTAAAGTTTTACTAAAGGTAATACAGAAATGACTGCAAGCAAACATTGACAGAGAACTTCCAGAGGTTCAAGACAGATTCAGAAGAGGAGATGGAACGAGGCATATCATTGTTGATGTCCGATGGATCTTGGCTGAAAGCAGAGAATACTAGAAA